CACTGCAGTCACATTTGCACCCTTAGACCTTGCAGAGGCCTCGTGTGGCCTGGAAATTGGGAGTCTGGATAACATAGTCCTAAGAGTGAGGGCTTTGGTGCCTATCTAGGTCCTGCCATGGGATTGTGGACACAGACCTTTCTCAGCCTCAGCTTCCTTTCACATGGCCGTCACCATCTCTAATTTAGTGAAGATTAAAGGCCAGAATGCACCCAAAACCCAGCGCCTGGCGCACAGGAAGTGTGCCGTAAGCAGTTGCTAATCAAGCCGACTTTTTTGCGATCTCCTTTGGAGACGCCCCTCACACCCTCCATTGTCCTTCTCAAAGAGGCAGAGTAGGCTGAAGAAGAGAGTGTGCTCCACTTGGAAAATGGGTTCCTCCAGGTCCCAGCAGAGCAACTGGAAAGAGAGGGAGCCCTCTGGACAGGCACACAGCCCTTTCCCTTCCCTTCAGTGTCTGAAGGGATGGGAGAAATCTCAGGATACTGAACATCTTCAGGTCCATTAGCCCCAGAGGCCAGCTTGTGCCCCCCCCCCGCCCCCCTGAATTTCTCTTCACTGAGATCCTGGGCGTGCGTCTCCAGAGAGGGCTAACTGGATCAGGGTGGGGCTGCGTGGAGTATCTGGGTTCACCCTCTGGGCCTGCAGGCCTGCTGCTGGCCTGTCGGAATCAAGCATGAAGCATGAAGACATTCACCTCCCGCCCAGTGGGTAATTTATTTATTTCCGTCTGAGACAGCTGGGTCTTGACCTCTTTAATTAAGCAACGTGGTGGCCTCCACAACCAAGTCAACAGTGGCTTGGGAAGCCATTAGGGGATAAGTCTTGCCTAGGGAGGGATGGGATCAGGAGATCTCACTGAAGAAGTGATAATCTTAATAATAATCACAATAATAATTCTAATAAGTATTATTAGTATTCTGCCAGCATTAAGCCCTGTGTCTTTTCATTTAATTTTTCCAACAATCTTATTGGCAGATTCTTTTTCTTAACTCCATTTACCAGTGAGGAGAGCTTTAGAGAAGTAAGTGGCTCGTCTAGTGTCACATAAGTAGAATGACTTATGTGGTACTGCCATGTGTGACTTTGCTAGCTATAGTTTAATGAAGTAGGGACGGCTGGAGTCAGGGGGTGGTGGACATCTGTTCCCTCTTCTTTTGCTGACCACCCCAATTTTCCTTTGGAAATCAACCCCTCCCTCCTATGTAGTTGGTGGGGGTGACCCCCTTCTCTGGCTCTAGGAGTGACCCTGTGGTCCTGGCCTAGCAGATGAGTGTGCTCTATCTCTGGGTTGCAGAGATGTGGTCAGACATGGGCAGGTGGCCCAAGCCAAGAAGATCAGAGCCTTCCTAGCACTTTTTGTTTGTTTGTTTTTGAGATGGAATCTTGCCCTGTTTCCCAGGCTAGAGTGCAGTGGCCATCTCAGCTCACTGCAACCTCCGCCTCCCAGGTTCAAGCGATTCTCCTGTCTTAGTGTACCAAGTAGCTGGGACTACAGGCACCTGCTACCATGCCCAGCTAATTATTGTAGTTTTAGTAGGGACAGGGTTTCACCATGTTGACCAGGCTGGTTTCAAACTCCTGAGCTCAAGCGATCTGCCTGCCTCGGCTTCCTGAAATGCTGAGATTACAGGTGTGAGCCACCATGTCCAGTCTCCTCCCAGCACTTTTGAAGGACTTCCCAGGAGAGAGGAGCTGCCTTTCGGCTGGAGTGGTTAAGCTGAGATGACTCCGAACTGGAGATGTTATGTATATCTTTGGGACCACGTGAGGACAGGCTGTCTGAGCATAGAACGGCATGGAAAAAAGGCTACCAGTGACAGATACACAGAGCTAGGGGTGTCATTTGAGCCCCTACATCTGCCTTCTTGAAGTCAGAATTACCTCTGGACTTTTCTGCTGTGTATGTAAATACACGTCCTTTATTTGTTGGGCTGGTTTGAGTTGGTTTCCGTCATTTGCATACAGAAGAGTCCTACCTGATACATGATTTTCCCATTTCAAACTACAGTTACATCTGCAAAAAAGATTTGGATTACACTCCCACCCTCCTGAGGTTTGGACACTTCAGTCCTCATGGGGCCTAAAGAATCAGGGCAACTCTTGGCTTTTTCTCTGTCTTCAGCAACAGCCTTCCTGATGGCTTCCATACCAGAAGCCACATTGCTCCTGACGTTTCACCAGAATATTCCTCCAACACAGAGCCATGTGCACCCCGCAGAACGATCCAAGGCCTTGGCCTTGTGCCTGGCTCCCAGCCTCTCCCTGGCCCTGCTGGGTGACTCCCAGCTCCCAGCTCCCTGTCTCATCTCATGGGGCTTTGTCCACCAGGGCTGCCTTCACCTCTCCTCGCCAGAGGAATCCCATACTTTGTGGAATGTGGCCTCTTTATGAAGACCCCCTTCTGCGGCCTGTGCAGGCCTGGATCACTGTCTCTGCAATGTGTGTGCATGTGGGAGGGGCAGCAGAGTGTGGTGGCCAGCAGCATGGATCCTGGAGCTGGGCATAAAGCTTCTCTCTACCACTTACAGCCTTGCCACCCTAGGCAGGTTACCTCACCTCCTTAGGCCTCAGTAGTTCATCTGCAAAATGGGGATGAGAAGATCTCCCATGCAAAGTTATTGTATTTAAACCAGCTAATCCATGGACAGTGCTCAGCACCATTTTATAGACACAGTCAACCCTCCATATGCATTGCCCATTATTGGGACTGCTGTTTGTACTGATCAATAGAACTTGTTCACCTCTCTTGTAAAGCGCCATCCCTGACTCCCTTTACTCTCGATAATTGGTGTGACTAATTTATCCACTAGGCTTTGAACTTCCTGAGATAGTGTCTAATCATTTCTGAATGCCCAGTTCCATGCAGACCACCTGGCGAGTAGGAGGTGCACAGCTTGGACAATAGCACTGTCCGATACTGTGCACCTACTACGTGGCAAGCATCATGGTGGGTGCTTTGCACACATTGTCTTTTTCAAAATTCACAGTATCAAATCCCAAGGAATTTGTTTAAGTCTGCATTCTTTTGAGAGGAGGGAGGCTCAGATAAGCCCATAAGATAGGCAGCTTCCCTAAGATCACACAGCTGGGAAAGCGCAGAACTGGATTCAAATGCCGAACGGGGTTGCTCTCCCCACAACCTCTACATCTTTGTCTCCCCAGGCCATGTGCTTGGGGGAGCAAACCTCTGAGCTTCCAGAAGCAGGGAATTGGCACCAACTGTAGGAAGTGTCTGCCCCTCTCCAGGGCACCTGACCTCTGGGACTGCAGACTGGGCGGGGGCTGCCAGTCCCCCAGGTAGGCTGTTGGCTGCCCACCTGAAGTCATACCAGGCCTGCCAATGTTAGATAGGTGGGCCTTCTCCAAGGAGGAACAGCTGCCCCAGCACCAGAAAATGTTGGCAAATGATGACTTCAAGCATCCCCCACCCCAGGGAAGTGCCAGTGAGGAAGTTAGGGCTCTGGGCTCTGGGCTCTGGAGGCTTCACCATTCCTATGGGAATGGAGTTCCTATGGGAAGCAGCAGGGTCTGTGTGCAGACATGGAGTTGAACTCAGGAAGAGCTGTGCACACGATGGCCATAAGAAAGAAGCCCCTAAACCTCCAGGCGCATGAGGGCAGACAGGCATATGTGCAGACTTGGGCAGATGCTGAGCAATGGTAGATTCCTCCCCAGCCTGCGCGGACCTAGGCACGACCACCTCACTGACCTCACCTCCCACTGCCAGCTACTATCCCTCACCTGCCTGAGCCGTCCTGCCCTCCTCTTTCTTTCCTCCCATTCCCCCTTCTCAGAGATTCTCCACTGACCCAAACTTTCCCTCCCCTGCCCTTCAGTCGTGAAGGACCCAGCATTCCTTAGCAAACTTAATCTCCTGGGAGAAGTCTGCCCTGATTCCCAGGCTATCTCCATGGCGTATGTCAAAACTGTTTTGAAAATGACTATCTGTGCAAATCTTTTCTTTCTGGTTAGAACCATATATGATACCTCATCTTGTTAATCATTGTGTCTTGTTTACCTGACACGCGGAACTGCTCAATTAATGCTCATGGGATGAATCATCTGGAAGGACACTCTTGTACCCAGGCCACCCACTTCCAGCCATGGACTTAGAATCTACTGCAGGGTAGAGTCAGTGTGGCATAGTGGGCAGAAGTACACGCTTTGCAGCCAGATTGCACAGGCAAGTTATTAAATCTCTCAATGCCTTTGCTCCCCATCTGCAGCATGGGACTAATCATGCTCTCCTTGTAGGGGTGATAGGAAGATTAAATGCATTATTACATGGGGAGCACTTAGAACATCATACATGTTATTTTATGTACTTCAGTGATTATTATCATAGTTGCCTAGACAATGAGAACTACAGGGATTGATAGGGGATATTCAGACTCTCTCTCCCATTTTACAGATGAAGAAACTGAGTCTTAGTGACAGGGACCAGCTCATCATTACATAGCTAGAAAATCTCTTGGGTCCATGCACCTTCTTTTCAGAACATTACCTTATGAGAAAAGTGAGATTTGGGGATAAAGAACAACATTCCTTTCTTCTTTATTTATTTTTCAAATATTTGTGTGGCTCATTGTTGATCATCAGAATGTGTTTTTGTGAATGAATTGATGAGTGAATGAAAGAATAAATGTCAAGAGACCCCTGTGGTTAAGGAAAAACCCTGCAGTGTGGGTTATCAAACCCCTGGCTGGCGTGCCCCACAACTCCTTCTTGTATCTGTGGTAGACACAGCTAATCAATCATAGCAGGCTTTTGCCCTGAGCCCAAACCCAGCCCCAGAATCCTTCTTATCACAGGCTGATTTCAGTTGATTAGCCTTGGCGCCTCAGATGAAATCTATTTGCTTTCCTGAGTCTGATCTCAGGAATCGCTTGGATTATGTGGTTTCCTTCTTTCTTTCCTTTCATCCTTCTGTTTCAGGCTCTTTCACTCCTTATTTCCCACCCTCCCTACCTCCATTTTCCCCTCTCTCAATGGTGTACCTGGAGGCATAGCCCTTTCCGTTCTGGGGGAGACGTACCCGAAGGCTCGAGGCTCCCACTTTGCTGCTTCGGTGGAGAAGGTGAGGTGGTCCAGCAGGTGCCGTGAGTCCCTGACCCAGCCGACCGCCACCCTGGGCCAGCTGCTAAGAGTCCCACCTCCCAGTTGCTGGAGGGGTAGATGCAGCAGGCCCAGAGGGTGAGATGGGGTGTTGTGCGCTCCCAGCGGACTAGCTGCTCCCGCCCGGCTCAGGCTCTGTCCTCATTCGAGGAAGTTTGCCATCAACTCTCCCTGCCCTGTTAAGCAATCTCACAAGGAAGGAGGAAGTTTGATCTAAGTGCTTATGGGGGAGGAAATGAGTCTAAAGTCTGGCGTGCCTGAGGAGTGACCTAGAGCCTGTCTGGGGCCTGGGGAGAAGGGCCATGCCTGTTCCCTTCCCACAGAGCTATCCCGGCCTTGGCAAGGGAGATTTGGGTGGGGATTCAAGCAACTTAATCAGGAGTAAGCTACCATAATCTGCCTTTGAAAACAGCCAAAGAGCCTTACAAAAAACCTAACCCTGTGCCGACAACCTCCCCAGGCCCTGGGAGGTGCAGGGCTGGTAGAGGAGTAATTGCAGTGCCTGATCACCTGCTCTGAGGCTCTGCACTGGAGTTGGGGGTGCTGGAGGAGCTGACTGGGAAGAGGGGAACCCAGGCAAGAAACTAGGTGACAGGAAAGAAGGAGGAGGTCAAAGGCCACTGCAAGATATTGAGCTTGGATGACGGAAAAGGGGGCCCCCTTGGTCAAGAGTGAGGAAGATGGGGAAGAGAAAGTGGTTTGGGAAAGTTTCTGGATTTGGGTTGGGGCACACTGAATTAGAGGTTAAAGCTGGAGGGGTGGGGTGCGGAGAAAGGGAAAGAGGGAGAAAGGAAAGAAGGGCTGGTCAGTGCAGACTTTTAGTGAAATGGTGAATGCAGCTTTTGTCTCCCTTCTCTCTCCTTAGGACCCAAGTGCACTGAGAGGGCTCAGCTTCCCCGTCTCTCGATCCAGCACCCCCAGGCTTTGTCACAAATCATGGTCTCCTTCCCACAGTCCTTCCTCTTAGGAGGAGTTGTTGCCTTGGTCCCCGGCACACAGGATCCTGGCGACTTCCCCCCTTGTTTGTTGACTCTGAATGCTTCTGTAGGCTGTGTGGACCCCTTAGAAGTAATATTCAGGGGCATGGGGTCCAGCAGCTGGTCAGGAAATAAAGATGCGGACCCAGGGAGCTGGTGCCAGGGAAAAGCAGGGAGTGGTCCCTGTGCAGTGAGGTGCCTGGGGTGGCCCCAGTCCTGCTGTTCTTCCTGCCCATCCCCAAGTAGGCACATGGGCCCCCTTTGGATATACCCCGGGGCTAGGCAGTGTTTTCCTGCAGCCTGATGGACTTTAACACTGGCCCTGTCCTCTATCCCATCTCCTCACCTCTTGCTGTCCCTTCCTCTGCCAGGACAGTTCTGCCCATGACTGGTGCCTGGGTCTTGTTCAGACCTGACCTGCTGCAGTGTCACCTCCTCAGTGGGGCCCTCCTGACCCTCACTTCCAATGTCAATAAGCACACAAATGTAGGGGAGTAAAAATGGCTTTTTCTACCCTTCTAACTTCCTTGGCTGGCCCGGAATTACACCAACAGTGGGGAGAATAACCAGAGAAAAGGTACAGACAGTTATCATGCATGGGGGCAACCCAGGAGAGAAAAGGGAATTCCCCAGACCCAGTGAGATTTAGGACTTGTATACCCTCTTCACAGGTGAGAGAGGGGTGGGATGTCAGCACCGTAGGGGAGAGTAAATGATTTCTGGGAAAGAGGAGTGAGCCCTCAGAAGGGCAAGTGACAACAGCCTGTAATTATAGACTGGACGTAGAGTGTACCCTCAGACTCCTGTGAAACAAGCCAGTCCTCTCGGCTGATGAGATTCCCTGGGAGGAGATTCATGGGCGCTGTGTTCCCTCTTGGAGAATCTGTCTTTAGACAGAAAAGGAAACCTCGGAGAGCCCCTGCCTGCAGTGACCTGCAGTGCTGTTCCCCAAGTGACCTCAGTTCAAAGTCTCAAAGTGGCGTATTTTGGGATGTCACTTCCCGAACTCCTTCACAAGCAAATCATTTAAAATTGAGACGTTCTATGAAGAACCCATGAAAGTGAGTCCAGGAGAACTTTCCTTGGCATGTGGTGGGGGAAAGCCTCTTTGAGAGGCTGCGGTAACAAACAAACCTAGACCAGCGGCTTAATAACACAGGTGTGTATCTAACAGCGCTGGAGGGCAGGAGCTTGATACAGGTCTCACTGGGCTGGAATCAGGGTGTTGGCAGGCTTGCATTCGTTTCTGGAGACTCCAGAAGAAAATCCATTTTTTGTCTTTCTGGTGTCTAGAGACCACCTACATTCCTTGGCTCATGGCCCCTTCCTCCCTCTTCAAAGCCAGCAACGTTGGGTCTCCATGACAATTCTTCCTTGCTTACATCTCCCTCTTTTTTCTGCTTCCCTCTTCTACTTTTAAAGACCCAGTGATGACACGGGGTCGACTTGGATAATCCAGATTACTCTCCCTATTTTAAGGTCAGCTGATAGGCAACTCTAATTTCATTTGAGACCTTAATTCCCCTTTGCTCATATATATTCACATGCTCTGGGGATCAGGATGTAGACCTAATTCCATTAGGGGGCCAAGAGTCCGCTAATCACAGGTGCAATTCTGTTTCATTTTCTTTATCAAACTTAACAGCCTGAAATGATATTTCCTGACTATTGTTTACTTGTCACCTGTCTTGCTCTACTGGAAAGCAGATCCCAAAAGGGCAGGGATCTTGCAGGTGCTGCTCGTTAGAACAGTACCTGGAACTCAGCAGGTGCTCAACAAAGACTTACTGAATGAACAGATGGGTAATGGAGCATAAGCTCATTTCTGCATCAGAGTCAACACGGACAGCACTGGTCTGAGAGCCAGGAGCTGGGATTCCCAGCACCCTGTGAAGTTGTGTGACCTGTAAGCCTTCCTTCCCCATCTCTGAGTCCCAGGCATCCTCACCCCAGCCCTGAGAGGAAGGGAAGGCACAGGGCAGCCGCCCTGAGGTCTTCAGGTCTTGGAGGAGTTAATTGCTGTCATGAAGTCATCGCTTATTTCCTTCCAATGGCAAAGGTCCCGCTGAAGCAGCAGCCTGAGCAGGTATCCGAGGGACACTCGCCCCCGTACGCTTGGACAGCAGTCAGCGGGGTCTGGCATTGGTGCTGGTTCCTGGGCATGCCACTCCCTGTGTCACCACCCCCTTCCCCACCACCTTCCACCACCACCTAGCCCATGACACAGGTGGAGAACATGGGCCCTGGGTCAGATAGGCCTGCTGTATGTCTTAACTCTGTTAGCGACCAGTGAAGTCACCTTGGTGAGTAATTTCCCCTTCCGAAGCTCCATTTTCTCTTCTATTAAGTAGGATAATCCCTGTATTAGAGGATGGTCAAGTGAATAAAGTAAGAGAGTAAGTTGGAAGGGCCTGGCTCATAGCAGATGCTCAGTAAATGCTGCCTGACATCATCATTACTTCTTATTGGTGTAATATCACCGTGAATTAGAATTTCCTGGTGAAAGAGGGCAGAATGGCTTCTCTTCTGTCTCAGAGGGCAATATGGAGAGAGTGGGTATCAGTGTCAAGTCTAGATACAGGGCTTGGCAGGAGGTCTTGAAAATACAATAATCAATAGGTCTTGGTGATTTGTCCTTTCCCTGGGGTGTTGGTGCCAACGGCTGCTGTGGTGGCAGGGAGGAGGTGGGAAGCGCCAATAGCCCTCTCATTGCCGGTGAACTTGGACACCGCCTCTGCTGCCAGCCAAGCTGTATATACGCTTAGGGAAGTTATTGTAACACAAAAGTGTTGCAGGGAACTGACAACTCTCTGGGCCGGTGGCGTGGGGTAAAATAATTTACCGAGGCAGTTGTAGGTGAAGAAAGACCGATTTATTGGAGACAGTAGGAAAATACGTTGCGAGGAGGCAGTGGGCAGCCCGCATGAGAGAAGCCAGCTGCAAAGAAACAGGCTGGCTGGAGATTTTCTAGGGTGGTGCTGACGCGGTGTGCTGAAGAGGGCTGGGGCAGCACCATGACACGAAGGTTGCAGTGAGCTCACCTGCAGGTGGCTGGTGACAGCTGGGCGCAGGAGATGGTGAGTTATTTATTTGTGCAGGAGGGCTGCGTCCTGGACCATGAAGGAAGGCAGACTTGTAGCTCATCTGCTTTCTCCTTTTGCTTTCCCTGGTCTCAGCAGCCTGACTCCCTTTCCCTCATCAGGACTCCACAAAAAGCTTATTTCTCATTTCCCTCATTTAGTTATAAAAATAATATGGTCCCGTCATGAAAACTTTGGAAGAAAACAAAAGTGTAAAGGAAACAAATCAGGCAAGTACAGTTTCCCTTGGGGCTAGCTCGTAGTGTCCTGGGTTATTTCCTTTCTGTGGTTGTGTTGTGCGGCTCTTCCCGTGCATTCAGCGTGGCATCCTCCTCTTTTCACCGTAGTTACAGCCGGGGCATCTCTCTGGGTCATTAAAAACTTGTAGATGTGATTTCTTAATGGCTGCACATGATCACATGTCACAAAGCACCATCTTCACCTCCCCTCCTCAACTCCTGGGCGCTAGGTTTCTGGGTGTGTGTGTATTTACAAACACACTACAATGACTCTTTATAGGCGTGTATTGTGACCTTTGTGCATCTCTCTTTCCTTCTTTTTAGAAATGGCTCCTAAATTGATAAACATTTTAAAATGGGACCAATAATTCCAGTCTTGCCACCTCACAAGGTTTTCTGAGGCTTAAATGAGGAAACAGATATCAAGGTTCTTTGAAAACCATGAAGAAAAGAGCCACCCAAATGCAAGGTCAGATTTTGAGCACTACCTGATTAAGACAGGAGTGTGTGTGTGTGTGTGTGTGTGTGTGTGTGTGTGTTCCTTAGCAGTTGGGAGATAGATGAGGGTGGAACTAGGAATAACAGCCACACCAGCATTCAACATATATAGAGCACTTACTACCTGCTGGGCACTCTATTAAACTAGACACATTCATGATCTTAATTCATTCTAACAACCACATCGAGGGGGAGTACTATTATTACCTAGAGCTTACAAATGGGGAAACTGAGGAACAGAGCAGTTAAGCAATTTGCTTGCG